AATTTTGAATGTATTTATCAATCATTTCCTTTTTATTTGTGTAAGCAAAAACACTTCTAGGTAATGCAAACACATTCTCTGTGATATTAAGTATCAAATTACTGTACGAGGCAAAACCTCATTTGACCTTTGAAATCAGAGACTGTAGTACTCTGCTCCATATGTTGCACAGAGAATGTACATAGTAACTCAATACCAATGAAACCAACAAACACACAATGCTAGTGTGCAGTATGCTGTAATTATGATTATTTCTGTAGGTTTTGGACATCTAGTTAAAAATGTATATGTTGTGTGTAAGTTTAGCATGATTTACAATACAATAATGTTTCAACTAACAAGCTGGAACTTAGAAAATCTCAAAATATAAAAGTAGACCATTAATTTATAATTTACACTTCAAGACAGTGGTTATATGTTAAAAAATTATTTCATCCAAGGATTTTGTTTGGGAAGAAATATTTTGCTTTTCGTCACTGCTACTGGGCACACCTGGGCTTTACCATTCTGGAAGACTTCCATAGCCTTCTGACACATTGAACATCCAGCATTTCCAGATGTATTTCTAAGTATTTCTCTACTGACCTACATGGGGAGATTATTTGACCTGGGTTGCTTACAAGTGAACCCATGATGAATACAAAAGAGCTTAACAGAAATCACACACTGAAACCATGCACCTAGGTTCACATTTGTGCATTCAAATACCCCAGGAGCCCCAAAAGCCCATTATTTATTTAGCTATTATAGGCATTTATAAAGCATTGACAATTTACACACAGCTCTTTACATATTGTACATTCACATTGATTATTGCTCTCTAAGGTCCCTATATCACATGCATACATACTGTACATTCACAGACATATTAGGGCAAATTTAGACAAGAGCCAGTTATTAATAGATCCTGTCTAAATTGGAGCATAGCAGGAAACTGAAATACCCATAGGAAGCATGCAAGCACAAAGAAAACATGCAAATTCCAAATAGATAGTGCCTTGGTCATTATTCAAACCTAGGTCAGAAGTTCTAACCATTAAATTAAATATACTGTACAATTGAATGTGTGTTTGCACTTGATCATATGAAAAATTGAGAGCTGTCCTGTGCCATGAGTACACTATCTGTGTTATCTCAAGGAATCTAATTAGCAGTGCTAGTTGGTGTCATCAAAATTAGCATATACTGTATGTTGTGGAGAATAGGATAGAGATAACCTTGCATAGTTTAGCAAAAGGGGTGGGCTGATACCATTCAGATCACAAAATTGTGTATGTTGGAAGCCCACAACATGACTTAAGCAATGAGTGCATTTCTGGCAGATCATCGGGTATTTGTCTGTCTTGTAAAGGTCTTTTATTGGATAAACATGGGGAAATATGCATGTATTCCAGAGATGTACTGAATATATATATTTTTATTTGCCCTGGCTTACAGTCCAGGAAAGTTAGAAATAGTTCTGACTGGAACAATAAATTAACTTCCTACCAAAGTTTGGAAGAGAGGCTTGAGCTGAGTGTTGTAGGATAATATCACCAAACTCTATGCATTTGTTCCACCAAACTATCAGTTTAATGTCCTGCAAGAACCTTCAAGCCTTGGCCTTCCCCTAACTGGGAATTTTAGCTTTTATATGATATAGGGTTATGACATGTAGGGTGGGAAAATGGAAGGATCAGGATGATAGAATGAAGATTACATGGCATGACACACATGGGAATCTGGAAAGCTTATGGTCAGGTCAGACATTCAAGCCCTCAACTGAACAGATGTCTTGCAGTCAATGCCTTTGCCAGTACAGCCCTGCTTATCCATGACACTAAAGGCAAATCTGGATTTCCTTTGGGAATTATGTAATAAAATATTCACAATTCTGGAGAAAATAGTAACATTATTGCATCTTTATGGTAAAGCAGGATGGCAAAAAAATTCATATGCTGAATAATAATTCTTCAATAAATGCAACAACTATAGATAACTAGACAAATAATACATTCTGTATGTAAATGTGCCTGCATAATTAGTAGAAACTTATTATTAACATTAGCCTTTATTACATGGCATTTTTCATAATATGTTAGTTTTTATTTTCATATCATGTTTAACATTCACATCAGTTCCTTCCTGATGAATGACCAACAGAGACTAACACAGACAACAGGAGAACACATTTTGATATGCACAGTACTGAAACAAGACTTCAGCAATGCAAAGCAGTACTATCAACCACCATACTACCACAGCAAATGACAAGAACAAGCTTGCTCTTAAACATTAATCTTTTCTTGTAGATGTAATTTGCTGTAAATTAAATATGTTTATAGATACATCTGTTCTAAACTGTTACAAAATGGAATGCCAAATGTAGAAACATCATGATCATTTTGAAGTTCGAAAAAGTCAAGTAGATAGAGCAAAGAAGACACCATTTTGATAGCAGATACTGTGTTGTATTATTTTTTTTCTCTAATTTTCAGATGTGGCATTGTTTTATAACTTATGGAAAGCTGAATGATGTTTTAATATCAGTGTCCATCTCTTTTGACCTTGAGCAGATTACTTTGCATACTGTGTTCAAAGAAATTACATTATAATCTTTATGGGCAGTTGCACATAGAAAACATTTGCCAAAATATTAAAATGCATACTTATGAAGTCTGCAAAACTAAACGTAATCACGATTCATAAATCTTCTAAGCTCAAAAAATGTGTTTATATATATATATATGTAATGCATGGCTAAAAATCACAATATGATAGTCAAAAGTGTGAGGAATTTAAAGAAAATGTTATCATGCAGTATACTTTATATATATGAGAGTCTTGCAGAATTTGAGATCTTGAGAAATCATGGGGATGGATTGATTATGGTTAATTCTACAATATTCCATTTAATCCTTCAGGCTGGTCATACTTGGGCCAAGATTGCTGCAAAATTGTAGCAAAGCTGTGCGACAATTTTTCCCTGTACTGAGTGAGAACAGTTGTATTTGTAGATCTCAAAAGACCAGTGTCTGCTGATAATGTAGAAATGTATATAAACATTTACCATCACTGAAACACAAATATATAAAAGGAGATCACTGGCATGCCCTGACTAGTGGATATGCATGTCAGTTAAACTGAAGAGTTTCCCAAGGGTCACTGTTTATGGGCAGTCTAAAAAGGATGAGTTCACTGAACACATAATACTATGGTTTTTTTCTCTGTATTGTACTCTACCCAAGCTTCTTCCCTTAATTGACGAAAGTGTATAGGCTAATTAATATTTTTGAACTTATAAAAGAGAAAAGGTAAACATTTTTTCAAAGGTATACCTTTTATAGCAAGGATAAATAATGGCAATACAAACACAAACGAAAACAGGGCACTATGCCTAAGTTATCAGTATATAGTAAAATGGCAACATATATTTAATCATACTGTATATATATATCTATATATATATATATATATATACAGTGAAGGAAATAAGTATTTGATCCCCTGATGATTTTGAATGTTTGCCCACTCACAAAGAAATAATCAGTCTAAAAATCGAATGGTAGGTGTATTGTAACAATGAGAGACAGAATAGCAACAAAAAATTCAAAAGAAATGCATGTCTAACAAATGATGCACTGATTTGCATGTTCATGAGGGAAATAAGTATTTGATCCCCTTCACAAAACATGACTTAGTACTTGGTGGCAAATCCCTTGTTGGCAATCACAGAGGACAGACATTTCCTGCAGTTGGCCACCAGGTTTGCACACATCTCAGCAGGGATTTTGGCCCACTCCTCTTGGCAGATCCTCTCCAAGTTATTAAGGTTTTGTGGTTGACGTTTGGTACCTCAAACTTTCAGCTCCCTCCACAGATTTTCAATCGGATTAAGGTCTGGAGACTGGCTAGGCCACTCCAGGACCTTAATGTGCATCTTCTTGAGCCACTCCTTTGTTGCCTTGGCCGTGTGTTTTTGGGTCATTGTCTTGCTGGAACACCCATCCATGACCCATTTTCAATGCCCTGGCTGAGGGAAGAAGGTTCTCACCCAAGATTTTACGGTACATTGCCCCGTCCATTGTCCCTTTGATGCGGTGCAGTTGCCCTGTCCCCTTAGCAGAGAAACACCCCCAAAGCAGAATGTTTCCACCACCATGTTTGACAGTTGGGATGGTGTTCTTTGGGTCATAGGCAACATTCCTCCTCCTCCAAACACAGTGAGTTGAGTTGATGCCAAAGAGCTCAATTTTGGTCTCATCTGACCACAACACTTTCAACCAGTCCTCCTCTGCATCATTCAGATGTTCAGTGGCAAACTTCAGACGGGCCTGGACATATGCTTTCTTCTATGTTTCTTCCATTTGCGAATGATTGCACCAACTGTTGTCACCTTCTCACCAAGCTGCTTGGCGATAGTTTGGTAGCCTAGTCCAGCCTTGTGTAGATCTACAATCTTGTCCCTGACATCCTTGGACAGATCTTTGGTCTTTGCCATGGTGGAGAGTTTGGAATCTGATTGTTTGATTGCTCCCGTGGACAGGTGTCTTTTATACAGGTAACAAAATGAGATTAGCAGCACTCCCTTTAAGAGACTGCTTCTAATCTCAGCTTGTTACCTGTATGAAAGACACCTGGTAGCCAGAAATCCTGCTGAATGATAGGGGATCAAATACTTATTTCCCTCATGATGAACATGCAAATCAGTGCATAATTTGTTAGACATGCATTTCTTTTGACTTTTTTGTTGCTATTCTGTCTCTCAGTGTTACAATACACCTACCATTCGATTTTTAGACTGATCATTTCTTTGTGAGTGGGCAAACATTCAAAATCAGCAGGGGATCAAATACTTATTTCCTTCACTGTATATATAAAGTATATATATATATATATATATATATATATACACACGCACACTATATTGCCAAATGTATTGGGACACCCCTCCAAATCATTGGGTTCAGGTATTCCAATCACCTCCATGGCCATAGGTGTATAAAATCAAGCACCTAGGCATGCAGACTGGTTCTACAAACATTTATGAAAGAATGGGTTTCTCTCAGGAGCTCAGTGAATTCAAGCGTGGTACCATGATAGGTTGCCACCTGTGCAATAAGTCCATCCGTGAAATTTCCTTGCTATTAAATATTCCACAGTCAACTGTTAGTGGTAGTATCACAAAAAAGCAACTGGGAACAACAACAATTCAGCCACGAAGTGGTAGGCCACATAAAATGACAGAGTGGGGGCAGCGCATGCTGAAGTGCACAGTGCACAGAAGTCACCAACTGTCTGCAGAGTCAATAGCTAAAGACCTCCAAACTTTGTGTGGCCTTCAGATTAGCACAACAGTGCGTAGAGATCTTCATGGAATGGGTTTTTCATGGCCGAGCAGCTGCATCCAAACCATACATCATCAAGTGCAATGCAAAGCGTCAAATGCAGTGGTGTAAAGCACTCCGCCACTGGACTCTAGAGCAGTGGAGATGTCTTCTCTGGAGTGATGAATCACGCTTCTCTGTCTGGCATCCGATAGATTTGTCTGGGTTTGGCAGTTTCCAGGAGAACAATACTTGCCTGACTGCATTGTGCCAAGTGTAAAGTTTGGTGGAGGGGGGGGGGGGGATTATGGTGTGGGGTTGTTTTTCAAGGGTTGGACTTTGCCCCTCAGTTCCAGTGAAGGGAACTCTTAAGGCATCAGCATACCAGGACATTTCGGACAATTTCATGCTCCCAACTTTGTGGGAACAGTTTGGGGATGGCCCTTTCCTGTTCCAACATGACTGCGCACCAGTGCACAAAGCAAGGTCCATAAAGGCATGGATGGGGGAGTTTGGGGTGGAGGAACTTGACTGGCCTGCCCAGAGTCCTGACCTCAATCTGATAGAACACCTTTGGGATGCATTAGAGTGGAGAGAGTGAGCCAGGCATTCTCATCCGACATCAGTGCCTGACCTCACAAATTCGCTTCTGGAAGAATGTTGAATCATTCTTGTAAACCTAGACACACTCCTAAACCTTGTGGACTAAGACTGGAATGCCATTAAAGTTCATGTGCGTGTAAAGGCAGGCATGCCAATACTTAATAGGCATGGAAATGTTATAGTATATACCATGTAAAAACCTTTATATAACCCAAATAAAATGCAGCTGAAAAAAAGCTGAAAGTACATGCCACTATACTGGACGCATGTATTTAAAGTACAGGTGATTCCCACAGCAAACAATTATTTATTTATTTTTTTATGTTTGCAGTAAGAAATGACTCGCATTTTAGAAAACATCAATTCATACATCAATTTCTAGTTGTAATGCAATAATACCTTTGATTTCTTTTGTATATAATACAGTGCTCAACTTAAAATTATTGAAACATTATTAAAAAGCATGCATAAAGACAACAGACCACGGTTATGCATACATGTCAGTACCATACTGCTTAATAACTGTGCCATGAACTTCTGTCAGTATTATGGACACAGTTCATTTTACAAATATATTATTGTAGACAGAAAAAGCCTGAGATCTCCTATTTCAGTTGTGACCTACATGTCTTTAAGTGACAATATATATTATTGTTATCATGAAGAAAAGCATTGAATATGCTTCCCTTTTAAACTTTTTAGCAATACATTTTTTTTAATATGGGTAGAAATATGTATTCAGAAAATAATATACACTAATAAAGCCATTACTTCAGATTCAATAATTGCACTTCTGATCGTTTAAATAATCTCTTTCAACCTTACCGATGTAATTTCATTTTGAACTTTTTGAATATGAAAATGCTAATGTCTACTGCTTTGTCAGCTTCATTTAACAAACAAAACAGCAAAAAAGTTATTTTTTAAGCTTATTAAAATACTGATGTATACTTTTTTTGCTATTGGCTCTGTTTATTCTTGTACTTTCTTTATATTTTTTAAAATACAACTCTTACACTGTTTATATCTACATACGCTACTTCTTGTTTTGTCATTTTCCTCTGCATATTTTAGAACTTCTGCACTAAAGCATCTATGTCAATACAAAACAAAAAACGCAGGAGATCTTTGGAATACCTTGTGTAACCTTTAACTTTGCAAATGTAGACAGAAAAGAGTCTGTATATAGATAGATGAGAAGAGAAAACGTGAAGAAATTAGCTTTTTCTATTTACATAGTATAGAGAAACAATTGAGTACTGTCCGTGATACTTTTTTTATTTGCACTAACATACAATTTTGAGGACAAGCTGTCGGGGTATGTCCCCTTCTTCAAGGTCCGAGCAGTACTATTACAATGTTTTAGCAGAATGTTAGAAGTTGGAGATGAGAGAAAAAAAAAAGCAGAAGGAAACACACGCCTAGGGTTAAACTAGAGACCCTTTACTAGAGATAAGATACAGCAAAGCAAAAGCAAAGACTGGGGGGGGGGGGAACAACAATTACAGAGAGAGTCATAAAAAATGTTGGATAATGATTGAGGAATCTCATGTCCAAATTAAGGCCGTTATGTCTTGTGTCAAATAGAATTATCATTCTTAGTTCAAAAGTTTTTCTTTCCTGAATGGATTTGAAATTTCTTTTCAGAACTAAAACATTGAGGTCTCCCAAAGTGTGGTCCGGTTGTGTGAAATAGTGTCCCACAGGTGTGCAAACGTTATCTTCTTTATGTCCATTGCACAGACATACCATCAAGGAACATAAAGAAGATAACTTTTTTGCACACCTGCTTCTCCAACTTCTAACATTCTGCTAAAACATTGTAATAGTACTGCTCGGACCTTGAAGAAGGGGACATACCCCAAAAGCTTGTCCTCAAAATTATGTGTTAGTGCAAATAAAAAAGTATCACGTCAGTACTAATTTGTTTCTGTCGCAAGTGCACTAATACGGCTACAATCACCTCATACTATAGAGGAAACACTTTGTTAAAATGGTAAAAAAAAAATGAGTCCCCCGCAGGCTCATATCCTAATGTGATAGACTGCACCACATACTAGCACATTATGATAGACTTACCTAAAAATGGATCCTTCCAGTGGAATGCTGTCACAGCTGACAGGGATTCTTTCTTCCCCTGGTCTTCTTTCTGGATTTGCTGGCTCTGCCCATTTGAAAGGCCAAGCCACAATGATATTACTCCTGTGCATGCATACAGGCTTCATGGCCACGCCGCAGCTCTCTCAATGGACAGCATGCTATCCATTGAGAGCACAGAGTGCATGTGCCAGTAATGTCACCTGCTGTTTCATATGTAAACATCTCTGAAATGGTGCATGTTTAGGAGATATTTACTGTACCTACAGGAAAGCCTTATTATAGACGTATCTGTAGATAAAAGATAAAAATTGGAGTTTACCACTTTAAAGGTACACTTCACATATTTAACATATACATACATACATACATGTATTCAGGGACAAGTACTGTATCAATAGACTGGTTTCCATTTTGCCTAACCAAACTAGACTTTTGGTTTCTTGTCATTTCTCACCCGTTTTATAAGGACTAATTTACAAAGGAGTAGAGAGTTTAATTTGCAAAATAAATGTTCACTTAGCTTAGTGAACAAATTGAAGCATCCAATAATGGTGAAGCAAAAATCTTTTTTTTTGTCTCTTGCACGATTGTATGTTCAAAGTGAACTTCATAAGTATCTTAACTTCAGCTTACTGACTTTAAAAAGTGCAGCCCACACACTTATTCCTTTATAAAATAAGTTCTATTGCTTCTGTTGGTATTGTGGTAATGTCTAATTGTTTGTTCATAGTTCTGCAGGCCAAGTAGACCCTCTGTAGCCTAATTATGCATACCCTTAAGCTTTTATGGAGAATGTATTAATCCCCCTGCTTTCCACTGCATCAGTCTACATTATATACAAGGACAAATAGATTTGATTGATAGATATCATGCAACACAGGAGGGCTAAAATGAGGCTGCAGTGCCACCCAAACACCAAAAAACCCCTATGGGTGTGAAACAATGCCACACAAACTATGTCCATGGAAATTAAAGTCATACTGATAAGACAAGGCAAGCTTAATATTTCAGGTGAATATTCCAAACTCATCATTTATCTTCTAAATATCTGAGGTTGCTGTACATTTTATGCAAAAAATAATACTATGCACAAATTCATAATGAAAATTGGAAGAACAGAAAGGAAATATATACAAAATACTACGGGGAAGTGTAGTTATCAGAGTGAATATTCAATTATCACTATATTATTGCACAAATATATTTGGTTAAGGGGTAAGTTCACCCAAAACTGATATCAGCTTTGGTTATAGGCTGCAGAGATGGTTGGCAAATTGACTTCTTGTATCTCTTAGGGACACCATTAGTGAGTACAAACTAATGAATGTGTTTTGTTGCTATGCAAAATAGTTTGAATTGATTGTCAAATTACTTGTACAAGCTTTGATATAATCCATCAAATAAATATGTAATGTAATGTTGTTTTTTTTGTTAGCATATTTGTTACTGCCAAACTAAATACTGATCCAGATTTACATCTAAACAAAATCTAAATGCTTTGCAATTTCAAAGGATGTATAAAGTCTGTTTTACAGGTCATAAATGGTGATTTTACTCTGCATATTCTGATTTAGAGGAAAGTACATCTCTAATGATTTGCTGTTATGGGTTATGTTTGAGTAACTGTGTAACAGGATGAAACACAGTATTAAATGTAACTTGCAGTTTAGTAAAAAGATGCAATGTTAGGAGCAATAATGTAAATCAGATTCAGGATGAAAAAACATGCGTATAAAAAAACAGCTTAAAAAAGCTGCACATACATAGATAGAATTTTCACAATAATGTCTCTGTGACTCAGTCAGGGTAATATGGCTGTATAGCATAGTGTCTAGAAGTCTCTATAACAAGAGAGTCTAGCTGAGAATCACTACTATCAAAACCACACAGAACAAAAACAGCTTCTTGCACTTATCCTCATGAAAAGCAGCCATCAGTAAAGTCCATGGTAGCTCTGATAACACCGGTGAACAGCCAGATTAATGCAAGGCCTAAGAATGCAGGGCCACCTATGTGGAATGAGAGTACTCTGGTAGCATTTGGAAAGGTGGTTTCCACAGTAGCTAGGTCTTCTGAAAAAGCTGCACGCTATTCAAATCCACTCCATTTGAACTTGCTGTCTCTGTAAATTTTGCAGATCATCCAGATTCAACCTATGGAAAGTGTGGAAAGTGTACGGGGGGGGGGGTGTCTCCTGAAATTAGGCCTGTGGGAGTGCATAAGGGTTGAGTCTTGCTGCCATAATCTGGGACTAAAGTCTTCAGGTACATCAGTGGATGCTGAGTCAGAGGACTCCACAGCAGGAGCATAGGCCTCAGCCAGATAACCATTGGATTGTGTAAGTTTGTCAGGATGCATGACTT